GTAAAGGTAAAGGTTCTCCTCACACATATGTGCTAGTCATTCTCGACTCTAGGAGGTGATGCTCATCTTTGTTTCAAACTGAAAAATCAGGGCTGTCCGAAGACGTCTCCCTGGTCATGTGGCTGGCATGACTAACTGCTGAAGGTGCACGGAATGCTGTTACCTTCCCACCAAAGGTGATTCCTATTTTTTCTACTTGCATTTTTACCTGCTTTCGAACTGCTAGGTTGGCAGAAGTTGGGACAAGTAACGGGAGCTCACTCTGTTATGCAGCACTAGGGATTCGAACCGCTGAACTCCTGACCTTTCTGATCGAGAAGCTCAGTGTCTTAGCCATTGAGCAACCTCATCCCTTATGTATTATTGATGATTATATAATCATCCTATTTATCCTTCAAGAATACTTATTTTTTAAATATATCATTATCTCTTGTCCTTCTGCATAGACAAGGCTAATTATTCAGGTAATTAGCAATTTAATAATTCAATAATACTTCAAGGTGAGCTTACAAATGTTAAAAGCACAATATTCATGAATTAGAAATTTTATCTCACAAGTATATGCTCCTGTTGTTTTTAAGGTATGAAATTTCCACTTTATTAAAAAGAGGGGGGGGGGACAAGAGTGGGAGATGTTACATTTGTTGTAAAAATGGTACTACGTGTTCCTTTTGTACAACAGGTGTATCTGTCAAGCCCAGAACAACTTCTGCCAGATGTCATCAGCTGTCATGGGACTTCCCAGAAAATCAGCTACCGAAAGGGGGGGGGGGGAACAGCATATCCTAATTATAGTAGATGAAACAGAGTATTATGCTAAGGCTCCCCTGATATATTGGGATATAAGATGTAGAACGCGATTTTGACTTTTGTGAGTTGCTAATAATGCTGAAACATCTTAAGTTATTTATACATGAAATTGCAATTAACAATGCTTAATCAAACGAGAAGCTATTTTCAGACCTTCAGTTTCTAGGCAACCTGCCATCCATGTATCCTAGATACTTCCTGATTTGCACAAACCTCGGTATATTTAACTACCATGAGGCTGTAGGATACCGAGCACAATAAACATCTCCTGTTGAGAGATAAAGCAAGCATTTTGTGTTTCCTCTTCCTAATGCCAAAATGACAACTCTGCATTCTAGAATTAGAAGTGCATATTCAACTGTAAAAACTTAAGCATCCCAGCCTATAAAGTAGTCCTGCCATTTCTGGTGGAATTAAAAACCACAGGGGCCATTTTGTTCTGGGGGATTTCAGGATGTTCCTTCATTTCAGGACTTAAATCTGAACTGGGTCCTGATTGAATGCAATTAGATTGTTTAACCAGGGATTACAGATGGGGACTGCAGCCACGAACTTAAAAGACGCTTGCTCCTGGGAAGGAAAGCTGTTGTGGCCCAGCAGGAGCTGTTGGAGCTGCCACCGGACTCTGACAGCAAGGGGCCCTATGAGTCAGCTCTGGAGGATGTGGAGGATCCTGGACAAGGTTCCGACTCCGAG